TATTCAACCTTTTTTGTTCGCGTACCCCCAGATATAATTTCTCTTCAACTTTGTACCCCCAAAGTTGTTGGTGTATAATTCAAGTTATACATAGTATATAATCTACATATAAAATAAATTAAATAAATTACATTACTGATTATTCAGTTCTTATCTCTTTCTCTTTTTTTTTTTTTTTGAATTTCACGGACCCCCTAAGGTGTCTTCGCATAACCCCGGTTGAATACCACTGTCCTAGACTATGATGTCTTTATGAACTATTATTAAATTTCTACAAGAATTTGTATGCTGACTTCACTAATAATAATATATAATATAACTAATGTAATCGTCTTGTTTCAGTAAGGCTTGGTGTAAATACTGAAAAAAGTTTACAGACACAAGTGGTTATTTATCGCTAATTATTTATTTTCTCCTGTGTAGTGTCCATAAAATTTTATTTCACTCAAATTTTTAATGAGAATTCTTTAATTGAACTTAGAAGATAAAGGTAAAATCTCTAGTGCTTTAACTAAACATCACATCATGCAGATTTTTGGGGATGTGGAGGTATAGCTCTTCATATTCTTAACCTTGATACTAAATAGAGGTGAGTGTTAGATTTACGTCTCAGCCACTCTATCCCCAAGGAAATAATCTGGTACCCAATGATAAGGCTCAGTGGGTCCTAAAGCCAGTTTGGACACTGAAAAATAAAAAATCTTTCCCTGCCAGGAATTTCTGTCTGATCATCCAGGTTGTAGCTTAGTTAATAACGAAACAGTTTGGAAAAGATATTCTATTCATTCATCCTGTCTGCATACCTAAAAATCTTATACAGTATAGACACATTTATTTTTGTGCTGGCTTTATGAAAGAAATAAGTGTTTCTATCAATGAAGTGTTTTTTTAGCTAGTCTTCTCTTGCTGAAACAACACTAATTTAGGTTTACGGTGCAGTAGAATAGAACCTGCTATAATTATGCATGAGAAGGGAGTTCTCTGGCTGATATGCAGAGCAGCTGTTATCAAACTGTGGTTCTAGTAACTCTTGGTGTACCAGAGATGCTTTCCGGGGGTACCGTAAATCCTCATTTTTACATTTTGTGGTACAATGCTTGGCAGAGCTAACGACCATTCGACATGAAATTAGTTTGCATCCTGCATTTAAAATTAATATAACCAAGATGTACTATTTATTTATTTTTCTATTAGAATAGCATTGTAGGTTGTGTAATTTTCATGTTTCTGTTGCATCTTTGACTTTATCAGGGGTATCAGACATTAGAAGTTTTAGAACCCCTGGGATAGGGCATTATCGTGGTTGCTACTATCTGTATGTAATAAATTAAAATACAAAACTAATATATCATTATGTAAGAATGAGATATTCTTACATGCTTCTACATCTACTTAATTGTGAGACTTTGTTTATAGTTATATGTTGTTACTAAGGGATTGATGTGTGTGTGCACTACTTTATAGTTTTGTGAATAGTTGCTTCTTTGTTGTCGTCTTGAGAAGTGTCTTGTTTCGAATTTGTCTGGTGATAAATTCTGTACTAATGTTCAATCAAGAACAGCACTTCTAGATCCCTGATATCATCTTATATGTGTATCGTAATGACTTTTGTACTGATAAGTAAATATATTTGTGTTCTTCCTTTTTGTAGGTAATCTTAGGAATGAAGGAAAAGTTCTGGAGTGGCTAATTCAGCAAAGTAAGAATGTCTTTACAAATCTTAAACATATAAATTCTTGTCATTTGTAGAATGCATTTAATAATTTGAATATTTGTTCTAGACTCTTAAACTTGTTAAATTGGGTGTAACAAATGCACAAAATACAAAATTTGAAGATATTGTACTGTATTAATTAACAAGTAATACAACTTATTTGACTGACTCTACTTTCTGCTGCTAGATCATTAATTTTTTCACATTGTTTGCAGTAAGTGACTTACACTGTATGATTATTTTTGCTTTTATAGTATAGGGCTTTACAAGACACAAAATTATACAATTTTTCTTATTTAAAATAATTTCAATTCTTCTTGTTGGGAAAGTATATAATTCTAAATGAATTTGAAATATTTCAAGAAGATTTCTGTCTTCTGGGTTGTTCCGCTGTGTAGTCTGGTCGATGTTAACCAACGTGTCAGAGGTCATTCATCGCCCTGATGACGGAGGCAGTATGACCTCTGAAACGTTGGCAAACTTCTACCAGACTACATAGCGCAACAACCTAGAAGACAGAAATCTTCATATTCACCGCTGTGAAAACCTCAAATCTTACATGAAATATTTCAGATTTACACTTTATTAACATGAAGTACATATGGATTTAAAGCTAATTACATTTTATTTTAACACATGAATGCTTATTACTAATTTTATGCAGGTGAAGATGATGATGAAGATGATGAGGATGATGATGATGATGATGATGATTACTTTAATGAGGATGATGATGATGACGATGATGATGAGGATGTCAATGATAGTCATGATATTATTATTCCAGGTAATCCAGTGACAAATCTTAGGTCACCATATCCTCACATCAATAGAAGGGAACAGAGAATGAAATTGAAATTTATTATACAAATTTAGGGGATTTGAATGTCTGTACCAGGGGCTGCCAGCCATATTTTAACTTTGGAACTGTTTAATGGTAGTGGTATACTATTGTCACACATGGTCAATTGAGACTGGGCAAGCTGTGATGCACAGCTGATAAATGTTAGTGAATATATATAAAAGCAATAAAATCTTCTCGGCCAATCAGCCGTGTCAACTGGTTTACTATGGTAATCAGTTGACGCGGCTGATTGCCCGAGAAGATTCTATTGATTGTACTCACCGTGAAAGTCTCAAATCCAATGTATATAAGTGTGATGCAATTTAAAACGTGGTAATTTTTTTTATTTTAAAGTGATTAGTTATAAAATGCCTTGGAGAGTATTCAGGTAGTGTATTATCTGGTCCAAATGAATTTGCTTGGTGTTGTAATGTATGGTGGATTTTAAACTGTAAAGAATGTTGCATCAAAATTCTCTTACACATTGTTAAATTTATTCTAATAAACAGAGTATTTTGATATTTCATATGCATTTAAAAGTTTGATCAGCTTATACAGCAACACTTGTATGCAGGTTATTGTTATGGCACTAAACTATTTCTGGATTATATCTAAGTAATTTAAAATTGAGTTTCTTGGCATTTCCATTGAACACAACCATTAACAGTGTCATTGTTCATTATTGGCTGCACTAAAACAGAAAAAGTTATCATTTTTTTTTAAATTTAAACATCTGCCCTTATCAGGATAAATGACTGAATGAAATTTCCAGAATATATCATAGTCTTCACAGATGTATCATTGTCTTATAAACCTTTTTCAAATTATTTTATTGTACTTTAGTAGATACATAAGATTAACAGTGATGGTATGTTTGATTTTTTTGTATCTTTTTAACTACATACTTGATCTCCCAGACTTGTGCCCAAGACGTGATCAATCATCATTTGGAAAATTTCATATTGTTATAATTAACTTAGTTTATGGCAAGAGCCATTCTGTTATCCTTCCTGCATGCCCTGTATTCCTAATGTATTGAATGCATGGCGCAACATGGGCTTAACAGTTGTCGTCTGCAGCAGGGGTAAGCAAGCAATGACAAGCATATTGGAGGAGCTTCATGTCTTTTTTTGTAAAGTTTGCACATAACAGTTTTGTTATGTTTGCAGTCAGTTCTTTTGTCCTTTGCACATTGTGTGAATTCTCAATATGTACATATACATCTACATAATCATTAAGTCATCACTTACTAACCAATATATATATATATATATATTAAATTTTTAGTAATATTTTTATTGTGCTAATTGAATATTTTTCTTTTAGTTATTTCAATACATTCACATAACAATTCAGTATAATATTTTGATGGACTGAAAATATTAAATGATATAGAGTATGTCGTTTATGTTGAGAAACTATCCATATTTAAATTTAAAAGTGGTAGGTTTTCTCGAGTCATCAAATGAGAGACTGACTCGGTGTTTACTTAATTCTGCTGCAGGCAAAGGCTGTTTCTACGTTGGACTCGGAGGAAAAAATGCAGTCCCTAATCCTTCCTATGAGCACTATCAGTGCTGTCCGAGCAAGGACACACGAGGCTCCAAGGTAGCTAAGGCCAATCCCACCACTGCTTCTGCCAGAAAGCCTGCTACTTCTACTGGCAAGCCAGACAAACCCTCAGTTAAAACAACAGGCAAAGAATCGAGTTCTCAAGACAACAAATCTACTTCAAAAGAAAAAGGCAAAGGTGCATCTTCTGCCAAAGAAAAGCCAGAGAAGACCAAGAAAGGAAAGAAAAGTTTTTTTGGGAGTGGTAAATATACTTGGTGGTGGTAGGCTAATAACTAAGTGAAATAAGAGAGAGAAGGTACAAAAATTGCCTGTTCTCATATGGTAGGATAATGACGCATCATGATCTTAAAACTGTGGTTCAGTAAGCATCCGTCATGGGAAGGGAGGTCCCATTTGTTTGAGTTGTGATAAAAAAGTGAATAAATCATATCTCATTTATTTAATTGAGAATCTAATCTAAGAAAGTGCATCTTATTTCTCTGTATATTATTGGTCACTTTATTCACTGTATATAAAGTGCACTGACAATTTCACATTTGATGAACTTATGTTTATGTTTGTCCTGATTAGACTTCTGTGTCAGATGATCTCTACAATTTGTACATAGAATATAGAGAAAGAGAATCATGTGTTCATTTTGAGGCTTTGTTTCTACTGGTCAGATGCTGCCATAAATTTGGACCAGTTGATTTTATTTCTCACGCAAGCTGTATTAATTCAACAGAGAAGGTCTCTTCTCGTTATAATGCTGTTCATAGTAGATTTTATGACACTGAAAGAAGTCTTAATTTTTTCTTCACTTTCCTTCTTGTAATATCAGTGTTTTTAATCATCTTGTGTCTCAGCAGCACTATGAATGTAACTGTTGTCGTGTAAAATTAAGAATTTCACCTGTTCTCATCTGCTTCCATTTCTGTTTTTTATGAATGTGTTATAGCTTTTTTAAATTCTATTATATTACTTGATTTGAATGCTGTTTCTAATATTATTAGTTGTTCTGTGTAAGTGCTCTCCTGCTACAGCTTCAGTACTGCACTTTGTTTGTAATCAGACTAAAGAGTTTAATGCTATGTCTTCCTCTTGTAATGAGTATGAGAGATATTCAAACAGCAATACAAATGCATATTACACAAATTCCCATCATTGTCATTATTATATAATCATCATCATCATTATCATCCTTTGAAGAATGTGTTATTTTTTACACAATCTTACTGTAAAGTTTAAATAAAAACTTTTGGGTTATTAAACCATGAACATTGCTTTCAATTTAAGCTGATATTTATGCAAAATATAACAAAATAATCAAGATTTTGATTTATATATGTATATATAGCCATCAGAATGAGTTGTAACTTTAATAGTCAAACTGGAATGTACAATAATGATGGAAAATCACAAGTCATTTTAAGATAAATAACAAGTGAAGTGGAATGTGAAATGAAATGTGTACTGCTTTTATTTCTTTTATATTAGCTGTTCCCTTCATGGCTACTCTGCTTCATCAAGTAAGAAGAGCCTTGAATGCTACCAAGCATGAGTATAAAAAGTTAAGGGAGAATCTGTTTGCTAAAATGCATTTGTAGCTTGCATGCATGAAGTAGTGTTTTAATTGCACATAAACTATCAGAATGCAGGTACAAGAAAAGAGTTTTACAGCCAAATGTTCCATGGATAAATCAAAATACCTGTTTTGTAGTTATTTTAGAGTAACAAATTGTTAGTATTATTTATTTATTCAATAGTTTATATTAACAGAGTGCAATAAACGAAGAGTCTAGAGCAGTGCCTTGTTTCACCTGGCTGAACAACTAAAAGTAACATGTTTTTTATTTTCATTCAATTTCAACACGGCCATTCCAGGACTGATCCTTCTAATCAGGTAACTTGTGTGTAACCTGTTTCTTTCTTATGTACATATGTTTATTTATATGACACTTCTTTGCCATTCATATAATTTAAATTATTTGTATTTTGGTATTATGATGTGAATGCTGGGATAATTTCTGTAGTCTCTTTATTTTACGTCATATTTGAATAGGATACATATGAGATATGTTTTAATTTCTCTCGTTGCTTGTGACTCTATGTGATTTGCTGATATTTCTCAGGAAACTTGCTTGATGAAAGTGATGTGTTAGAGTGGATGGTGAAACAAAAGACAGACATGAGTATTGAAGAAGTTAATAGAGAAGAGCTCTTCAAATACATTGAAACAAAGGAATTTCTTGCTGTAGTATTCTGTAAGTTTATATTTATTATCATATTGAATTTTATATTTTACTTCAACCAGAACATCCTGTTCCTGTATTTATAGAATGCTTTCAAATACAAGACTGGAAAGGTGTAATCCATGCCAGAATATATGTGTTACTGGCAAACTCTGAAATCCGGCAATGTATAGAATGCCTAAAGTCAGTAGGCAAAGTATGAAATTCAGTCATTCTATGGAATGCTCAGGCATTTTATAAAATGCGTAGAACTTTTAGGCAATATATGAAACTAATAGTTTATTTTATGATTTGCCTAGGTATTTTACAGAATACCTAGGAATTTTATAAAATGCCTCAGATTCTTTAGGCAAATTATATAACAAAGAAGTTTCCATAATAAGATTTACAGTTTTATTTTATCTTTTAAATTTGTGGAACCTTAGTATAAAACAATTTTTTTAATTCTCAAAACCTTTGTTAGGTTAGGTTAGGTTAGTATATAAAACCATTTTTATTAATTCTCAAAACTTTAAATCAATATGACTGTACATTTGGGGTCATGCGATAGAATCCAGGTCATGTCACTTTTTTTTCTTTTAAGCTGCTGCTATGTTATTATTTAACATTATATAAAGCATTACTATATCAAAGTTATATTTTTAGAAAGTCTTATACTATAATTTATTGAATGACCATGTTGCAAATGGTGCTTATGTCAATCCCACCTCATAGGTTTTTTTGTCTATCATACTGGTATTAATGATTATAGGAAATTGGAAAATATGATCTTAGGGTAAATCCCAATTGAACACCAAATTTCATCAAAATCCATCAAGTGGTTTTTGAATTTAATCATGCGTACAGACATGTTTAGCCCTATATGCTTTTATTTTATGTGCGCTGTGGAATGAAATGAAAGATTCAGTTTGATTTGATTTTAATATGATGTTCAAGTCATGGGAAGTTTGAACAATTTTGCATTAGAAGTAAATTACTATTTATTTAAATACATGTCTTTGGAGATATAAAATTATATATAGACAAATGTACAGTTTATAATAATTTGTCTATTACCTTAATTATGTAATGTTTTGTTCTGTCCAGACTGTGAAGATAGTCCTGATTCACCTAGAATTTTGCGCCACATTGAACTTATTGATGACGAAGCTGCAGAATATGGTATCAAGATAATAAAGACAAGTGACCGACTTATGGCAAAGAAGTATGGTTATCGTAAGCCCCCTGGCATCACGTACTTCCGCAAAGGAAAATACATCAACTACGATGGTTTGCATCTCAGTGAATTTAGTATATTTTATTATTGCTATAATAACAGTTGATCCAATTATATTGTTATTATGTCTTTTTGTGATTTTCCATCATTATTTATTTTTTGTATATAATATTAACAAACACAAATTCTCTTTTTCAGGAGAATATTATTTACTAGATGATTAAATATTAAAACTTTCTCTTGTTAAGAAAATGTCTAGTGAAAATTTGTATAATTCAATGCACATTTAACGCGAATATAAATTGAACATTCCTACGTCATAGGTGTCATTAGATTACTTTGAAACGCCGATATCTACCTACAATTCCATATGATATTATAACCCAAAAGATCATCAGTAACATATTCAGTTTTGTAAGAACTTCAGATTCTATAAATTTAATTTATTTTTTTGTTGGAATTGACATATAAGATTGTTGGGTGTAACAATTCAGTTATACAATTTTAGAAAGAATACTACAGAATATGCTGAGGTATAATTAATCAAACTCCAACATCCTTGACATCACTCACTTTTGCTCTCTACTTTGTTGCATGATGTATGGAAACATACAATTAGTAGTTGCTTTAATCTAAAGGGGACTAAGATGCTGAGTAGCTTTATTGATAATGATCATTTGATGCCAAAGTTTTACTGAAATGAAATGTTAACTGCAAGTCTCAAGTGACTAAACAATTAATTTTGTTTTGAATAATTATTTGAGTTATAAAAGAGAATTTACAGCATTTAAATACTTCCATTAGTTTATTTTCTGATAAATAGAAACATCTGTTGGCTTTGGCATATTATTCCATCTGTCTTTTCTGCATTTAAATATGTATCAGCCATATTCTCTACATATGGATCTTAATAAAATTTTATATTAAGATTCTTAATAGTTTAACCATAAATCATGTTTTGGATTTAAGTTAAGGTAGTTTTTAATTTAAAGACAGGAAGAAAATATCTTGATAAAAATTAACCAAACCAAGAAAAGTAAAGTTTGAGACAGTTTTTCTGATATTTAGTGAGAAATATTTTATTGCATATATATCATTCATGTTGTGAGCCATTTTTAGAGTCGACTCAGACTTTCTAGGTTCTATAGTGACTCATGCATAAACTGAGTCATGTACCAGATCTTGCTCAGATATTAACAGAATGCAGGTGTTATTATATATTTACATTATTTTCATACCAGTCGTTCTTTATACTATTTCTTTACTTTATATAGTTTCTTCATGTCCATGTATCCATCATTTGTCTTTCCCCCCCTAATAACTTTTAGAACAATGACTATCGAATCATTTACTATTATTCCCAGATGTTTTCACAGACATTTTGCCTTGATGACAGCAGTTACTCTTATAATTTTTTTTAACAAAACTCATAGTGCCTAATGCAACATAAATATAGATCGTTCTTTAATGAATATTTCAGAAGTTATAGTTGGAGGCATTAGAAACATTTAAGTTGCATTGATTTGTTAGTAAATGACTGTCTAGCTGTTGACTAACTGGAGCTTTGCATCAAAGGAAATTATTTATCTTAATTATTTTTGAGGGTAACATACTCCTCTATCTCGTAGTTGTCTTGATTTCTGAATGTTTCATTTTCTGTAAGCAACTTCGTAGATAACTAGGGGTGCTCACTTTATTAATGCATGTGGCAAATGGGACCAGTAAAAAAGGTAGTATTAAAAATAGTAATTACAAATAAGGTAATTTATTGACTGAAGATTATTTTGTGTATGTACAGGTGATATCGATGACGAAGAAGAGATCTTAGACTGGTTAACAGATCCTGAGAACATGGAACTAACAGATCACATTGAACGAGTCAACAGGAAAATGTTTCAAAAAATCCGACAAACATCTGATTACATAGCTGTATTTTTCTGTGAGTATATTTATTTAGTGACAGTGTTACTACAAAAATCCTGATCGAGAAGCACATGATTGTGTGTGAAATATATATATATATATATAATCAAGGTGTCATGGAAATGGTTCACCAGATGAAATATTTGTTGATTCATTTGGCATAGGGGAATCGGTAAACGTATCTCTAAACTCATTCTGGCAAGTTTATGTACTGTGAACATGTTTGTTAACACATGCTTGTCTCCAGACAGTGACGACTGCAAACAGTGTGGCCGAGTGTTGGCTGAGATAGAACACATAGATGATGAAGCAGATGGAGCCGGAATTGACTTTGTTAAAATTGATGACAAGCAGATGGCTAAAGAACTGGGGGTGTTTGCCCTGCCTGCTGTTGTATTCTTCAAAATGGGATCCAAGGAGCCAGTTATTTATGCAGGTGGGACTTTGCATATAATTAAATATTTGTTTATATTGGTTTGTATACGTCAAAAAATATGTGCCTGAAATTATATTTCAAGACAGTTATAGAGACATATAATCGGTTTTGTTACAAAATGTGTTTTCATTATGTAATTTGGGTGGAACATGGTGGGAGTATTAGTAAACTGTTTTCATAATATGTGTTCATTTTGTACATGACATGATCAAGCATTTGACACCGTGGTTTAAAGAACAATAAATGTGAGGTGTAAAGTGAAGCCCATCAGTGTTCACTTGCATTGAATCAGTTATTTTTATAAATTTTTTTATTTATGCGGGATTCATGTGTACTAATATTTGTCCAAAATATGAATTAGTTACAGTAGTAATTTGTTTTTCTGCATGCCTTGTACCGCTTGGTCACTAGGATCGTGGGTTCGAATCCCACTCAAGCCATGGATGTTTGTCCGCGTCATCCTGTGTACAGGTACAGGCCTTGCGACGGGCCGATCACTCGTCCAAGGAGTCCTACCGAATGTCCATAGATCAGAGCCATCGAAAGTTGGGACCCGCAGATGCTCAGGCACTGAAGAACGGGCCGTATAAAATAAAAAATAAATAAAATAAAGTAATTCTTTTGTTTATTCTCTAATTAAAGAGTTAATTATATAACCAATTTATTAAGTGATTTAAATTTAATTTTTATTCAAAACTTACAGTAAACATATATTTTGTAAAGTAATTGTATAATCTGTTGTTACTCATAGAAAATATTTGCAGGAGATCTGTACAATGAGGAGCAACTTCTTAGTTGGCTTTTGACACAGAAGGATCCTTCAGGTGAAGTCATTGAAGCTCTAGAAGGTGACGAGCTGCGAAAACTTATTGCCAGTGATAATTCAGTGGCCGTATACTTTTGTGAGTTCAACAATACTATATGATATAGAACTTTCATTGTCTGTAAAATAATGATAATAATTAATGAAACACTTTGTATGAAGGTGTTATATGCAACTAACGTCGTCAAGTCGAACGCTGCTGCAACTACGTATTTAATGTAATTTTTATTATTTTCATTAAGCACAATATTTTTTTCTTTTAATAATTTTCAGGCCTGTGATTTGGATGAGATGGAAAATTGATTGCATTATTATATACATTTATTTAAGATGTATGAAATATGCTGTTTCTACTTGATTTTGTACTATTGAATTGTGTTTGTCATGAATTGTTGTATTTATGTATATGATCTTTTAACTGCTAAGTTAGATACCTTCTGTACTCTTTCACTTTTAGCTTACCCATGGTTTACAAGTATTATTTATGCATATTCAATACTGAGTCTTCTTATGTAGTTAATACCAAGTGTAGCATCTAACATGATAATGACAACTTAGAGAAGACTATACAAGCTAAGCAACTCTTAATAATTATATGATAGACATAGAGTGATACTTTTTGATCTAACAATGTGCATAACATTGCACGTGTTAGACTGTACTCGATCATATATTAACAGTGAAAGGATTATGTTATAAAAAATACTAAGCTGTACTGGGATACTAGACGTTATAAGGCTTAATTTGACGATAATGGAGCATTGAAAACAAATACAATTTAACCAGTTTGGAATATTCTTTGTGAATAATGTCACCAATTTTCTATTTTGACAGATGCAATCACAGGCATGTTTATGATAACAGTATTGCATGACACTTCAGTTCCTCCTACTCTCGCGCCTTATTTCAACATTAAGATTTTTATTTTTCTAAAGGAAAATTTTGTCTAATGTAAAACAACATTAAAATGCGTCAAAGAACATAAAATTCAAAACAATACAATATAAGATTTCCGTCTTCTGGGTTGTTGCGCTGTGTAGTCTGGTCTATGTTTACCGACGTTTCAGAGGTCATACTGCCTCCGTCATCAGGGCGATGAATATGAATGACGGAGGCAGTATGACCTCTGAAACGTCGGTAAACATAGACCAGACTACACAGCGCAACAACCCAGAAGACAGAAATCTTCATACTCTGATGACGGAGGCAGTATGACCTCTGAAACGTTGGTAATCATCGACCAGACTACACAGCGCAACAACCCAGAAGACAGAAATCTTCATACTCACCACTGTGAGAACCTCAAGTCTTACAATTCAATATAAAATAATATGAACCCATCTACCTACCTACCTGATTACGTTATTTTGGATATTGGTGCCGTGTAGACTCGCTAGTAGATACCAGTGATTTAAAAAATGGAAAAGTTGGAGATGGAGACAGTATTTCTCTCAAACACTGGTATTTACTGGCAAGTCTATATAGTACAAAATCCCAGATTATCATCATCCTCACCATCATGAATACCTCAAATCTCACATACTTACCGACAAGTGCACATGGAGTTACGATCGAGAAGATCGCCGCAGATGTCTTTACTGCTTAAGAACATCTAATCTCAAATAAAAATGTTTCTTTATCCATTAAGTAAGAAATAATGATATCAAGTAAGAAATAATTAAAAAAGTTTTCACATTAATGTGGCATTTATTAGTGTCATCAAAAACATTTGCACACTTTCTACAACATATTAAAGCTTCTCTAATACAAAATTTTATTGATACATAATTATAAATTACCAGTAATAATTAGTTACAGTAAGTGTTCAAAATGAGTCACAGAGAAAATGGTATTTGGTATTGAGTCACAGAAACCTTTCTTAGTTCATGACTGTTTAAGTTTTTATTGAAGGTATAGCTATAATGTTGTAAAAACTCATGGAAACATGTTTATGTTATGGTGCCAGTTTAATGAGAATAATCTACATCACTTTTAAAGGTAATGGAAGTGTCTTAGGAAGATGAATAAGAATATTAGGAAGCAGTTAATCAGAATATGTCTGTGGACTGGTTTGATAAAAACGTGCGCCCAACAGAATATTTAAAATTACGTCCTTGCCGGGATAAAAAATATTTCAGTATTAAATGATTCATTCGTGACTGCAGGAGTCACATTATGTACTTTGGTCTGTATATTCTCATAATTATAAATTATAATATTCTTCATGATGCAAAATTAATATAAAAGATCATAATAATAAAACTATAAAATATGCTAGACCATTCTGGACACTGACATGTTACATGTATTACTAGCTGTGTATAAAGATATAAATTAACGTACAGGACTGTCAGGTGAGTACACTTTTTAAAATTAGTCTTATGGTTAGGATATAATATCACATCAATTCCACATAATTCGTCCTGTTATGGATTGCCGTAGGGAACAAGACTTTCTGTGATCTTTGCAATTCCAAGCAATTTCGCAAACAACAGCAGAAAAAGAAAGACAGAGAGGGAGAACTTCAACATGAACTTCACAGGGGTGCTGAGGGGGAGGAAGGCAACCACACTACTGGCATCGAAGGGAATGTAGATGGTATCTCTTGAACTTACCATTTTCCCTGCACTGCCAGAATTGTTGTATATTTTTGGGAACCATAAGATGATAGCCCAGTGATAACTATAGCAGTTATAAACATAACAAGAATAAGTAACGGTCGAATTCCTTTAATAATTCTATTATGACAGGCCAATGCGAAATATTGTTATATGTATTATAACAGGCATCGAGACAGAAATTGACTGCAGACTGATAAGTTTGATTATCAGTTGTACTTTAAGTGACAGTTACTCAGTCCATTTTATTCCGTATAATAATTTATGTACTAACTGCTGTTTAAGGGCTATTTTATTATGGTATTGCCTCTGTCCCCACTCTTTTTCGACCTAGCATGGGCAAATTATTAGGCACAGCCCTTGATTCTCCTCTGTTGAAATATTCTAGAATTTCATGCATGTATGCTAGGAAAAATGTGGTTAAATGTAATTCATATTATCCTTGTTCCATGGACCTCTTGAGAAGAGTTGCACGAGCACAATATATGGTGCCTTCCAACCAAAATTTCCATGTGTTGAATGTTTGTAAATTGTCTTGGTAGATTTTTTCTCTTCGTGTCTGAAAGTCTGAAAGTGTTGGTTGTAGTTGACTGACTCCTCTGTTGTGAGAAATGTAATAGTTTTTGAACTGTAGTTTTTTTCACATGTAATTAAAGTGGACTTTGTTTTTAATGTAGACTTTATATTATTACACGTTATATTGTAGATGGTAATCATGCTTGCAGTGCTTTGGTCAGAAGTAGTTTTAAAAAGTATGTGTCTAAAACATAATATACATGATTAAGCTTTTCTCTAACCAGATAATTTTTCCATTTGATTAGCCATATTTGGTTTTATGTTGATGGTTAATTGTGACTTCTGAAGAAATAGTGTCACATTTTATTGCATTTTATTTTAATTTAAAATGTTTATAGGTAGTTTTGTAAGTATCCTCTGGAGAAAGAGCCTTTTTACACAATATGGGTTAAAGTAAAGAATTAGATGGATTGCTTATATTTTTAGGAATATTAAAACATTGTATTTTGTTCTTTTAACTTGTCTGTTTTTATGTTACATTTTTAATTTTTGTTACTGCTTGTTATTTGTAAACACATTCATTCTTTTCTGTAGATTCTGTTGATGAATGTGACCAGTGCCAAGCTATCTTAGAAGAACTAGAAAATATTGATGATGATTGTGATCGACACGGAATAGTATTTGTCAAAACACAGGTACAGTGAGTTATCCTATAATGAAAATTTTCCAATGTTAAAACTAGGCAGTGAGTTTACATTTTCACTGTTTCTAGACCCAGTTTTATCGAAGAGATAATATGTGAAATAACATGAATCATGTGAAATATTGTCACCAAGCCTCTAGAAATATACTGCCAGGTCATTTTATAGAAATTTAATGACACTCGAGAGGTCTCTCCTTCCAAGACAAGAAACAGAAATTGTTTAAAAAAATAAATGCGTGTAATTATTCTATAGGACTTGTTCATCATTAGTACTTTTTTTTATTAATTACACTTTAGAATATGACTGTCGTCTCGGATACTGTACTGTGAAATCTGGTAGTAGTTTACAGGTGTTCCAGAGGTACTTGTTGCCTCCTTTACTCTGATGATTGAAACAGCAAGCACCTCAGAAATTTCAGTAAATTTCTACTAGACTACACAGTGTAACATCCCTGAAGACAGTCATCTTCATGCTATGTGGTTTAGAGAGCATGTCCACGTAATTTCTATAATTATATTTTCAGGACTTCCAGGTTGCTGAAGAGTTTGGCGTATCAGAGTTCCCAAGTCTTGTGTATTTTGAAGATGAAGTGCCAAATGTTTTTGAAGGTTTGACAAATAATGTGTTTTTCAATATTACACAGTGACTTGATTCTTTCCTTCTGTAAAAAATACTTTAGCAGCTCTAAACAGTTATTAATTATTCATAAAATTTTCACTGACTAACTTTAAATAGAAAGGAACAAATAACATTCTTTATGCTCAGACTTGAATTAGGAGAGACTTTGGTGAGAAATGGCCACTGAATTTTGCTTACAAAACATCTCGTTCATGCTCATAAGGTTCTTTTATATGCCGTAAATATACGACATGGGACCCGGCTTTACTTCCCCTCTGAAGGAAGTTGTGCTACTGATTTTTATCACCCTTAAAAATTCATTGACCTCGGCCGGGTTTGAACCCACAGACCTTGTGCCTAGTGGTGAGCACGCTAACCACTAGTCCACTGAGGGAAACCGTCTACAAGTTCAGTTTGAAATAAATTTCTGATTAATGTGGCATTCTCAGAGACGTCATCTGTATTGAATAAAATTTTAATGGATATTATAAGTGGGTGCAATTTGACGTTTTCACAGTCGCGGGGAAGAAGGATGTCTGTTAACAAATATTTTGGAGAAAACTATTCTTCCTGTCTTTAGGATGGATGTGATAGGTTCCTCCGAAACTTTTGTAAGTCTACAATATTTGACAAAAGACTACAATTGGGACAGTATATTCTGATTACAAAAGTGTTCTAACTCAATTTATATTATGTATCGCTCCACTTATGTTGAAGGTTCTCATCTTGTTTTAGGTGATCTCTCTGAGGAAGAGGAAGTTCTCCAGTGGCTCATCACTCAGAGGACTGAAGATCGCATTGAACTAATCACACGGGTTATGCTGGAAGGACTAGTGGAGGAGACACAGTACTTGGCTGTTTACTTTTGTAAGTACATAACAGAGAAGGATATAGTATAGCCGCCCTGCTACTCGCCACGTAGGCACTTGGGGAAGAGCACCACATTATTATAAGCACAAATACTTTACATTATTTCAAAACATTTTTCTCTTTCTGGATCATACACTTTATAGGATCAAATGAAATGTTAGGATTGGACATTCCAAAACTTCTCCTTAGGGCTTACGCCACAATCATTTGAGTAGAATGTATTAAGAAGATTAATTATTTCATGTATGTTTTATTGTCTCCTTAATGGTAAAATATGAATTTAAATTTCTGAAGAACAATGTATTGACAATCTTGAATTAAATTGTAGACTTTGTATTTAATATCTTTACCTACATTGCAGGAACCATTTGCTTGTAATTAATGACACAGGTTCTAGATCTATTCGTTGTTAAGTGGTATGAAATTCTCATTCTGTGATTATCCTTGAGAAATACAGTACGTGTCAACATTGTGATCTGTTAAAAACTGTTCTGTTGTTTATCATTGTCTTCTGGGTTGTGATGTTATGTAGTCTTAAGATAGAGGAAATAGGTTACTCTGAAATGTTATTAACCACCTATAAGACCACATGGTATCACGACCTAGAAGACCACTGACGACATCTTCACTGCTGTGTGAATCTCAAATATAAAACTGTTTTGTTGATTACAGATAAATTAAATTGCCACATCTGTGATGAGATCTTGGATGATCTGGAAAATATAGATGATGAATGTGATGTGTATGGTATTCATATGGTCAAGATCCAAGACCCGCAACTGGCTAAGAGATATTCAATTAAAACTTTTCCTGCATTGGTTTATTTCCGAAATGGGAATCCTCTGCTGTTTGAAGGTAAATGTTTAAGTTACACTCCTTTTTTAAAGTGTTCTTTTATTTGTTTAGGTATTTACACTGTATAAAAATATGAAAGTACAGTCATGCCACAGCTTTCCAATATAAATCCACAGTTGTAACAGTCCATGTGTTTTGTGAGACAGTTCCAGGTGCTCTTATATTCTTCTTCTTCTTCTAAGGCTCTCCGATCCGTATTTGGTCCATGGCCGTCTCAATTCTCCTCTTCCATTCGGTCCTTCTGTTAGGTCCGTCTGTCCGAGTCTTTGATCGAGGTTTCGAAACATCTTCCTTTTTACGGTGCAAGGTTGTTAGCCTTGCTACTAACCCCTAACCTGGAGGACCAGGGTACCTGTCTTAGTCTGACCTCTCCCCCTCGACCAATCTGGCTCTTGGGGTCACTGAGGTACTCAATCCCCACCACCGCGACAAGGTGCAGGTACCATTAAGTGGGGCTCTTATATAATGCAACTTATTTATGTAAGATAACAATATAAATCAAACCATGCAGTGAATAATTATGTTATGCTTTTAACATGGATTCCATATTATTCAGACAACAGTGACTTATAATCCACTTATAATACAGCATTAAAGAAATAATTTTTCTTACTTGTTCTATGAATGTTTGCACATTTTTTAGAGACCTGTTGGTCTGTAAACATGGGCCTTTGCATACACAAGGAAAGAAGAGTTTAAGCTTTTTTGATTATGTGTCGGTGCTTATACGCAATTTAGATGACTGTACTTGGCCCTGCATCACAGTAGCATACCAATAAATCATTAAATCTATAGTTTAAATAGACAGATAAATAACTATCTCCATATCTGAATGCTTCAAGGTCATTCTTCAGAAGTTTGGAGTTGCATAGTTTGTCAAGAAATGTCACACTTTTAGTGGAATTTTAATGTTTATTACTGCATTAAAAAGAAGAGCTCACCAATGGAACATGCTTGTATTACTCTGTTAAAAGTAGACAGACAAAAGAATTGATAAGTAATTGAAGTAATATTTTGGCATATTATTTCCTATATGCTTAAAGAATTACAAAATTTTGTGACAGAGGTGCTAAAAGCACTAAAATTTAAATGTTTTAGAAAATATGAACAGTGTCTAAATTGAGACAAAAAATGTAGGATGGTTTGTAAAGTGTTCTTAACCTGTGCTTGAAATGGTTTGATCGTAAACGCTTAAATTTTGCATGTCAGGCTTTCCGCCAACGAAATTCCTCAAAATACTTTAAATGCAGCCACGAGATGTGTTTCAGAACACATATGGTGATGACCATAGAGTCTGTAGCTTACTGCTGTAATGAATTACTCCTACAAAAGCAAAATTAAAGATGGCGTCTTGAAGTCTATCATGCTGTTTGTGTCGTGTATTGACACTGATTGTATGGGTGGATGGAAAGCAAGAAATACACTGTGCAAATTTTAACCATTTTGTAATCGCTGAGCATTTAAATTGATACGTTTTATTTTCATGAAGCTTACTGCCGTGATGAAAATTAGTAAGATGGTATCTCATTATATTTTAACCCACTTAAACGCAAGTATTTCACATGCTTTTGTTTCTATTCCAGGTGATCTGCAGAATGAGCAGTCGGTTCTTGAATGGTTGATAGATGATGACAATCGAGAATTGGCTGATGAAATAGAAGCTGTTAATGACCGTATGCTAGAAAGACTATTGGAGGAGTCACCGCTCCTTGCTGTGTTTTTCTGTGAGTTTGTCTCACTTTTCTCACAGAAACTTAACTGTTATATAGTGGAATCTGAGATTTCCATAGGAACCAGTAGTGAATTTTAAATAAAGGACAATAAAATTACTGGAGACTGATGAATTGTGGTTTTCTTTAAACTGAGTAATTCTGTATGAAATCAAAATTGAAGTACTTGAGCATTGTCATGAAAAGCAAGTTCATAAAATGTTACTTGTTCAGTCCAGAAACTATAGTGTCATACAATTTCGAGAAAACTGATGTTTAACACATAAATACTTTTGCTGTTTTGTATGGTTTGAAATATGGTCAGTTACTCTGATTGAAGTATGGAATTTGAAAATAAAATTACATAAAAATGTTAGATGTGAAATAAATGAAATACTGGTAAATTGAAAACTGAAAATGTTGTTGGTTTCAGATTAAATCACTTTGACTTGATTTTACTGAACTTATCTTTGAAAATTTATATTTCCTCTTTGAAGAAAATCCTCTTGTGTCTTTAAGTGCATATAATCTAATTGATGTTCCATGCTAAATACACTTTATATACACAACTATTACCAGCACTCGCAGGGTAACATGTACATGTTACATGTGTGAAAAAATGTCAATTAAATATTACGAAAAGAAATGGTCTAGAGCAGCGATTCTCAACCTTTGATATGCGTACCACTGGTGGTATGCGAGCCAATGTTGAGTGGTATGCAAACTAAGTAAGAAAATCAAAACATAATATTAACATAAATAAGTTTTCCCTGATTGCATTTGGTTAGTGGTACCTTTAATGTGTTAAATTAGAATTAGTGGTACGCCAGCGGAAAAGATTGAGAACCCCTGATCTAGAGGTTTTCTGTAGAATATTCTGTGGAGTTAAATAATTGTTTGGGTATATAAAATAAGCTTCACTATTATTACAGCACTTGTCTTCAATCGAAATGGATTGATTATGCAGTTAATTAAATTTGATAATTTACAGATGACGAAGATTGTCCTGAATGTGATGAAATTCTTGAACATTTGGAGCAGATTGACGGAGATGCAGACATGTACGGTATGTTATGTCAAAGGATATGTATCCTGAACTTCAAAGTTTCTACATTATGGACAGTAAATGTGCCAAGTGACCACAGTTAATTTTATCTTTTAAGTTTAGAAAAGGCACTGTCTGATATTTCATACTGAAGCCTTTCCTCGAGTCTGAAAATATATGAAGCAGAATTCAAGAAGGAAACTCTTTGAGACGGGAATAACGTTCTTTTGTATGGGTGTGAAAATGCATATCTTAGATTGAGTGAAAAACATAGATTGAGGGTTGATTCTAAGGGTTCTGATGGTGGTTTTATACAATCTGGATTTTTCTGGACCTTCTGGATGCTGTCCTCATTATGCGTGAAGACAAGAACAGATCCAGTCCTTGAAGCATTATGTGTTTTATAATGGATAGCTCAGTCAGTTTAGTGACTAGCTACGGGCTGGACGGCCGGGGTTCAGTCCCTGACGGGGGCAGATGATTTTTCCTCTAGCCTCTGCGTCCAGACCGGCTCTGGGGCCCACCCAGCCTCCTCTACAATGGGTACGGGGTTCTTTCCCGGGTTTAAAGCCGGCCGGGGCGTGATGTTGACCACTCACCCCCATCTAGTGCCGAGGTCAAGGAAGAGAGGAGCTATACCTCCACTCACCCCAAATGCCTACATGGCGTATAGTGGGATAAACTTTACTTTACTTTAATGGATGTTTAAGGAAAGAATTTCTAGGAGAATATTTGGATGTTAGAGGCAGAACGTAACAGGAGACCAGATAAAATTGCACAGTAAGAAGCTTCATAATTTATACTGTTCACCAGACGGTATTTGGACTGTCAGATCGAACAGGGGCGAGATGGGCAGCATATGTAGTATGTATTAGAGAGATGAGAAATGCATACAAAGTTTTGGTTAAAATATATGCAAATAAGAACACTCTAGGAATGCTAAGGCATAGATGGGAATATATGTTAAAACAGATCTTAAAGAAATAGGATGGACAGGTGTTTACTGTATTAATTTGAATTAGGAGAGTGACTGGTATGACCTTTTGTGAAAAGACTAATGAAATTTCGATTCCCACAGAAGACAGACTTTCTTGACTGGTTAAGTATATTATAAGCTTTAGAAGGACTGCTCTTTTGAGATAATTTATTTAATAAAGGGTTAATAAGTACTCTATGTATCTCTCTGTCTTTATAATACACAACCACTTGACACTAGTCATCCATTTTACCTTTTAATTTCTAGTAGTGATCACATATTTATGATCGTATCAGTGCTGTTCATGTCCCAGTGTTATGCATTCCGAATGAAGAAACATTTCCTTGAATAAAAATTTCCGGATCTAGGGATTAGCTCTATCTAGTGGGCCAACTGTGTAGGAACCCGAAGACGGAGATAGAGTCCCATCTCCGAAACGTCATTTTACGTTTTATATTTACTAGACGATGGATAATACCCAAGGAAATTTTTATTCAATTGACTCTTCACCATCGTCAAGAAGTTTTAGATTTGATAAACATTTCCTTGCTTAGTCATCAGTAATACTGCCTCAGGTGCTCCAATTTTAAATGTAGGTACATAATAAATTATGCAGTTTTATCATAAATGAAAGTGATATATTACAAATTTATTTTTAATTCAAATTTACAATGAATATGTCAATACATTATAAATGTGTTTACATATTGTGATGTATGTTTTTTGTTCATAAGTTTTGAATTTTATATCAGTGATGCATTTATTGTTAACCATATATAAATAAACTTGGAAAGTGATGGATCAGAAAATTGTCTACAAATTGCTTACAAAGTTCTTGGATTTTTTGTAATATTGTCAAGTCAACCATGTGATGGTAACAGATTAACAGTGATATGAAATTTTAAGTCTCTTTAATCTATCAAGTAGTCCTTGTAGTACTAATGCTTGAAAGTAGCTGTTCTAGATCATAATCCAAGGATCAGATCTTTTTGTATTTATTTTCATTATATTTTTAAAACATTAAAACAGTGTAACAACACAGGAGCAACAAAAATTCTTTTCAGGTCAGTTTAAATTTATTTAATTGTTTATGAATTTTAATATTTTCAGTTGTAAGCTTTTTCTTGTTCGTATTAGTGATGCATAATCAAAACTTTTATATTTCACAGGTGTTGATATGGTCAAAATTAACCATCCTGAGGCAGCAGGGAAATTTAATATTATTAATTTCCCATCATTAGTTTATTTTCGTAAGAAAGTGCCTCTCTTATATGATGGTAAGTATCGTATTACAAAAATATTCTCCTATCTTTAACAATTTATTGTATAAACACATGCCAAATAATGAAGAGTATTTTATTATTTAACATTTATGGAAATAATTTTCAGGAGATCTTCACGATGAAGAAAAAGTTTTGGCATGGCTAACATCTCAAGATATATTTGAAATAAAAAATGAAATTGAAGAGGTAAACCGCAAAATGTTGGATAAATTACTGGAAGAAAATGAGTTTCTGGCAGTATATTTTTGTAAGTACAATGATAAAAGTATCATTGATTGAAATAACAGAATGGAGCAAGAAGTAATTCTGTATTACTTTCTTAAAGTGGCCTAACATCACTTCTTGACTGTCATATTTACTCTCATAGAATTTTTTAATGATTCAGCGTGATCACCACTTACATACGTTTTCACAAACTGGATTTGTTTTAAATTTGATCAGAGGGAGGCTATTTTACTTCATTCATGGTTAAAGATTGAATTATTGTGTCCATTTTTAACATTGCTTGACACATTAATCTTTGCAAAGAATGGACACTAACTCGCAAAAAACTTAAACCACAGGGTTTGCAAAAATAATCTTTGCAAAGAATGGACACTAACTTGCAAAGAGCTTAAACCACAAGGTTTGCAAAAGAAGGATTGAAGTTTATAACAATATTATACTTGGTCAAAAAACTAATAGTCATACAATGATGGTAATCCATAGCCTGTTTATGTTAAATCATTTCTTATAACTCTTCTGTGGTTATACCTCCACTTGGGAACCTGTCAGCTAGTTTTAAATTATTTGAAATTTAATTTGTTACTTTCTAATCAAGTACCTTGTAATTATTTTAAAGCATATCTTTTGTTCTTGACTATAGGAATCAATGACTTGCATATAAACCTACCTTTATTTCAAAGAAAATTAAAGGTAATGCTAGGAAACAAAGTTTAAGAATATCTCTTTTGAATTACATTTTTTTAATTAGTATAATTGTCTTTAAACCCACTATTATTTTACACTGTAATTCAACTGCACATAATGTATAATTGGTTTCAGATTATATTTCAGATTTACTGATATTTAATACAATTTATATTTTAATATTTCTTTGTTACAGATGAACGTGATTCAGAAGAAAGTGACGTTGTGTTAGAAAAACTTGAGAACATTGACGGTGAAACAGACAATCTAGACATCCCATTTGTGAAGATGGGAGACCCACGCTATGCAAGGAAATGGGGCGTCACTAGTCTTCCATCTGTGGTTTATTTCCGAAAGCGATTTCCTAACATATACAGAGGTACAGTTAGTTTAGTGCTCAGCATGATTAAAATTATGCAGTGATTGTTGTTTGTAATACTGGATGTTAATGTTTTATAGATTTGCATGTTGTTGTCTTGACTTTATCAATAAGTGAGATATCATTTTATTTTTCCCAAATAATATTATTTTTGCACACAGGGAACTACATTTTTAAAAATTTGTAGTACTAACAAGCTAATACCCACATAGGGTTATAATGCTACAAGAATAATAAGAAGAAGTATTTCGTGTATGAGATTGGCGGGGCATGTAGTGCGCATGGATGGGGCAAGAGGTGTGCACTGGGTATTGGTCGGGAAGCCTGAGGGGAAGAGACCGCTGGGGAGACCTGGACGTAGATGGGAGGATAATCTCAGGCGGGATCTATGGGAGATAGGAGTCGAAGGAGACTGGATTTTGTTGGCCCAGGACAGGGTCCGGTGGAGGGCTTTGGTTAATTCGGTGATGAACCTTCGGGTTCCGTAAGCCATCTGGTTGGTTGGGTCCACTATTTGGGAAGCCTGAGGGGAAGAGACCGCTGGGGAGACCTAGACGTAGATGGGAGGATAATCTCAGGCGGGATCTATGGGAGATAGGAGTTGAAGGAGACTGGATTTTGTTGGCTCAGGACAGGGTCCGGTGGAGGGCTTCGGTTAATTCGGTGGTGAACCTTCGGGTTCGGTAAGCCATCTAGTTAGTTAGTTAGTTAGTTAGTATTTCATGTATATGACACACTATGTTTTGAAAACTGGATATTACACTTTAAGATTATAAAATTATGCTTATTTATTCATAAACTGTTTACTTAAAAACACAAAATCATTTAAGTCAAAAATAGATTAAAGGCTGACTAACTCCTTGTTTGCCTTTTTGTTGACCTTTCACTAAAAACTTAAAACAGAATTGCCATAAACAAGAACTGGTGAATATCAATGCTTAAAAACCACTATCCTTTATCGCCTTCGCCCTGTTTCTCTCTTTAAATTTTATGACATCCTTTTTCCTTCCTGTTTTATACAGTAATAAAAACAAATGCATATGATTCTTTCAGATTAGTACTTTCAAACAGTTTTTGTATTTCCTGTATTTGTTTTCCAGGTGACATGAAGTCAGGTGATGAAGTGTTGGAATGGCTTCGCAAGAATCGTTTCCGCCAGCCAGAGCTAAACATCTTCATGTATGCTGTGATTGCCCTTGCGATCACTTTTGTCATGTACACAGCATGGCTTCTTTCTTGTTTTCGGCCTCACATCAAGCAAGCGTGAGTTTGTGCTGTGTCTTGTGATGTGGAAGATATACACAAATTAGGTTGAGTGAGGTGAAGATAGATTTTCAGCTCAGGGGTGCCCAATGTGAAGCCTGTCTTGCTTGTTTTAAGCTTCAATTACATGAAACAGAGTAATGGTGTGGTTATAAGGGGTATACATCAGTTCAAGACACAGGATGATTCCATAAAAAATGTAACGGCTGATCTGTGAATGTGAGAATGTGAATGTTGAAAGAAATGAGTCATATTTTTAGTAAATAGATAGATACAGATGAATCCAATTGATCTTAGAAAACAGAATATGGGACAAGTTGGACTATGTGACTGCTTATTTGACCCGGAATTTCGATCACAGTGTGTCAATAATTTGCTTTATCATCATATCTTTAAGGTACTCTCCCCCTACATGTACACACTTATCCCATCCTGTGAAATGTTTGTACAAAAAAGCCACATCATTCTCTAGAAGAAAAGTGAAAATATTGCGTCAGATTTTAACTGCCTTTGTACAAGATATCACATTCAGAAAATACCTAGAAACAATACAGTTACAGAAACATATTCCTAAAATAAATTACATGATAATAGACTTAATCACATATATAATTACATTACTACTAATTAATTAGCAATTGTATTGAATACATATATTTAGAAGTAGCTAAAATTAGGGGTCCGTAGTGGCCGCGCGGTCTGAGGCGTGGGCCTTGTGCCGCTTGGTCGCTGGGACCGTGGGTTCGAATCCCACTCAAGCCACAGATGTTTGTCCTTTTTTTTCTGTGTTGTGCTGTCCTGTGTACAGGTACAGGCCTTGCGATGGGCCGATCCCTCGTCCAAGGAGTCCTACCGAATGTCTACAGATCGAGCCAACGAAAAGTTGGGACCCGCAGTGCTCAGGCACTTGAAGAATGGGTCGTTCCCAGTATTCCAGTAATATCTAAAATTACATTAAACTCAGAATATGATTATTACTGAATCACTGTATCAAGTAGATTTATAGTCAAAACGTTAATAACATTTTTTACTTTTATAGAGAGATTTGTGAATTATTTTACACATTATAATGAAGTACTTTAAAACTTTGATGTTATAGTAAATAGTAATTATCAGATCCTGAGGAGTATATGAAATGTTTCTGAACAGCGTCACCAAAGAGGCAACTGACAGAGTAACAGTTGGGCACCCCTGATTATTTAAACATTCATTGACCAGTGACATGCTGTGCTGACCAGTGTTGTGGGGATCAACTAAGTCTTCTCTTGAGACACCAGCTTATATATTATATTTCCCTTT